CTGAGCCTCTGGGAGTAAGAGCAAAAACCCTTCGTCCTTTCTGGGTCCGCCAATATTAGGGTGCGACTGAAATAATGAAGCCTGGGACTCAGTTAAAATAACGAGCCTAGGATGTGGCCAGATGCAGATCCTAGGGCATGTCGGCATGATGGAGTTTAGGTTGAGCAAAATTTCTTTCTTCCTCCAAGATTTTGCCGTGCTGTCACTGCCGAGATACTGACAGTTATACGTCCTCTCATACTGAGGAAAATGAGTTCACTCCTTGTACCGGGTCCCTGTATTTCGCTCACGGGTTTTCTCTTTGCCGGGGCTACATTTTGCCGTGCATTGCTCTTTAAACGAGGAGTTATTCTAAGATTTATCCAAAACAGTATTTACTCGCACATTCTTCACTGAAGCCTCGCATTTTGCCTCAGGCAAAGCGTTTATGCATATAGTCACCATAGCGATGCAAAACTAAGCTGAAAAACTTTTGCATCATGCGTAGCACATTGTTTTCCGAACATGTGCTGTTACTTATAAAGAACTAATAAAATTCGCAGAAGATTTGATGTAACAGAAGCAATTAATCGAAATTTGCCGAGCATTGTTTTCCTCCGAATATCTTCAGAGCTACAGTAAGCGCTTTGGGTATCTGCCCGAAGATTCGGCTCGGTGGCAGCTGCGGGCGTCGATGTCACTTGATGTGTCCACCGGGTCACTGAACTTGGCCTTGGATGGCGCAGTAATTGCTGACAGGAGAGATGGCGCAGTTACTGCTGACAGGAGAGATGGCGAAGTTATTGCTGACAGGAAAGATGGTCACTTTCCCACAGCTACCAGTGTCGCGAGTGGGCGGCACAGCTATGCGAATCAGCGCTGTTGTTTCGGGATACGGTTTGGATTATTGGCAGGTGAGCCGATGAGAGCATTCTCATTCGTCGATCAGAGATGCAACTGCGAAAAAAGCTTCTCTATCTACCGTAGTACTGTGGGGAATGTATGTGTTGATTTGGGTTGACTTCAGCTGCTGGAACCTCGCATGTGTCCAGATTTTATTAATTTGATGCTTGAGGAAAAAAATTCGCAGTCTTTAACGGCGCGCTTTTCTCACAATGCCTGCATAATTCTGCTCCAATAGAAACAGTACCGACAGGTGTTATTTCTTTGTAGATGCCTGCCGCTTAAAAGATCTGTAGTGGACAAAAGAAAATTTCATCCCAGTGTGGCCAGGATAGTTCCGTTTTGCTAAGATTTCTTAACAAGTATTTGCGATTCAGCCGCCTTCATAGGAATACTGTCTAACCAGCTGGTGCATGCAGCTAATAGTTGCTTTTTCTGCTGTAGGGCTTAAATTATCAAGTATTTTCAACTTTTGCAGTTATGCCTCGCCAATCGTTTTATGTTGAGATCGAATAGCGCACGAGGGAGTGGGTCGAAGGTCGTCGAGAAAATAGAGCACCGGCAGGAAAAAGCAAACCTGCTCGCGGTGGTGCCCAGTGCTCTTGCTAGTATGCGTTTTCCAGTCTTTTTTTTTTTTTTTTTTGGTTAATAGAAAAAATGGCAAATGATATTTTTTTGAATACAATTTTGGCTTTAATTGTCATACCTCTGCAAAAACTATCGTTACCCCTCGGCATAGTAAAACAGGAAGGGCGGAAAGAGCAGTGGAGGCCCAACTAGAACTAATCATCCCAAATAGGAATCAAAAGCCCCGTCGTATTCAGCCTCTTGAAAAGGTAGAAACATTCGGAAATATTCCGAGAGCAGTTGCCAGCACCACCCGCTGGTAAAGCTAACGATGTTGGCCTCTTTTGAGGGTTGCTTACAAATGAGTTGATAGCCGTTTTAGAATAGATTGGTATTTTATGATGTTTTACCTTTTGGCCTTACAATTCATTAGTTTTGTTAGGCAGTTCACTTTTTGGCCTAAGGATAGGATAAGCACTTATGGCTGCGGATAGCTAATGCGCATAAGCTGCAAGTCCACTTGCTAAAATTGTATAGAAAGAGGATCTCCCTTCCCATTCTCTTTCCCCCCCTCCCCCCCTCTCCCTCCCCGCTCTTTTTCCTCTTCCCTTTCCTTCTGATAACGAAGGTTTTTCAATTGGCTCTTATTATCAAAGAGGAAATTCCCTCTTCTTACGTACTTGGGGATATCAAATTCAACTGCGCTTGAGGCTGCGTGGGAGAAATGAGGAAGCATGAAAGGCGTGAAACTTCGCTTAAGGAATAACAGAAGTTGGCTGGAACAGACTAAAATTCGAGATTGACCTACTACTCAATCTGTAATACGATATTAGCATGCGTTAAAATCTAGTAACTCCTGTTACGGGACAGGAATTTAGCAAGAACGGTGTAAGGTTTTGTCGAAGGACCGGATCAGCCAAAGAGAAAAACTTGGCAAAAAGGTGCAAAACCT